TGGCCCGTAGCTGTGGAAAGCGGTTGGGCCCGGAACCGCGCGCGGTCGGTCCGCGGCGGAAGGAGGTTGTACTGGGGGCCGCGCGCTGCCGCTCAGCGGCGGCAGGGCTTTTTTAGCGATGGTCTTGGCGACTTTCGGAAGCGTTTGGATTACTCTCGAAGACATGTTGGGAACTCTGTGAGGCGTTCTGGAATGCGTTGCTGGGGCCATTGGAGGCCTGTTGGTTGAAGCCTTTTGGATGTCTCCTGGGGCCTTTGCGGGGCGTCTCGTAGGCCTCTGGGGGGCTTTTGGGCCATATTGGGGTGGAGAGCACGGGGAACCCCTCCGAGTTCTTCATCTTGGGTATTTGCTCTGGCCAGCTAGAGGGTCTCCTGGGCTCGTCCTGGGGGCCCTTGGGACCATCTTGGGACGTTCCTTAGCTTTCCTTAGCGCGTTTGGGGGGGCTTCTTGCGATGTCCTGGGGCGATCTTCGGGGGTGCAGGACCAGAGTTTGCTGGAAATGCATCTTTTCCTAAGGAATTGGAATGGTTTTTGCGTCTTGTGGCCCTCTTGGGGGTCCTCTCGGGGCCGGCGTGAAGTGTTTTTGGGGTCTTGTGGGCTGTATTGACGCCAGCGCGGACCGTTTTGGAGGCTTTTGGGCCGTATGGGAGCGACCGCCCAAGCGTCTTGGCTTCGGTGGAGTAATGGACACGATCGGGATCCGTCCCGGAGCTGTGTCGAGAGCGCTGGGTGCGCACGAATGGACCAGGAATCGTTAGGTGACAGATGGGTGGGGGCCATCCCCGGAGATTGTCATATAAGAAGACGTCTGTCGTTTTCGCGTTTTCTTTTCTGTGTCTGGATATGAGTGCATCTGAGAATGAGCGAAATAGGGTACGAGTGGTTGAGTGCGCGTGTGTGCGTATGTATGAAAGTCTGGGCGGGGGTGAGTCTGACTATAGGCGACGAAGTACGAGCGCTGCTGTGTGAGCGGGTTTCAGTATGAGCGCGTCTTCGTATGAGTGAGTATGCGTCCGAGTGTGGGCGAACCTGAGTATGAGCGAGTCTGAGTATGAACGAACGGTACGAGTGGGTGATATGGGTATGAACGCGATTGGGTACGAGCGCATAATTGCGAGTGGGTCTGAATGTGAGAAGTAGTACCGTGAGTGCGTTTCAAAATGAACGGCTCAGCATAAGTGCGCTTGAGCTTAGGAGGTCCTGACAGGGTACCCTCACAACCTCCTGGGCGGCTCCCCCTTGGGAGGCCCAGCTGCCATGCCCGATACATCGCCACCGCCATGGGGGTCTGAAGGAAAGGCGTCCGAGCGGTCGGAGCAATACTTCTGCTTGAGATGTCCCGGCGATCTGGGCGCCAACGGGCCGGTGGGATACCCCTTGGCGGCTCCCCCTTCGGAGGCCAAAGTGCCATGCTTGCTGCATCGCGACGACCGTGGGACTCTGGCATGAAAGGAGTCCGGGGGGCCAAAAAGTACATTTCGACTTGAGAGGTGCCGACAATCTGTGCGCAGATATGGCCCGCGTATACCCTCCGGCGGGCCCCTCTTGGGAGGCCCGATCGGCGTGCCTGCTACATCGCGACGGCCTGGAGCCCTGACCAGGAAGGAGGCCGAGGGACCGCAGTGGCACCTCTATCTGGCTCCTCCTCCTCCTCCGCCTCCTCCGCCTCCGCCGCCTCATCCTCCGCCTCTTCCTCCGCCTCCTCCTCCGCCTCCTCCTCCTCCGCCTCCTCCTCCGCCTCCTCCTCCGCCTCCTCCGCCTCCTTCTCCTGGACGGTTCCGACAACCTGCGCGCGAGCAGGCCCGCGGTATGCCCCCTTGACGGCTCCCTTCTGGGAGGCCCAAAGTGTCGTGCCTGCTGCACCGCGACGATCCTGAGGTTCAGAGACAGAGGGCCGATGGGGCCTGGCATCGGGTCGGGCCCTGTCCCTCCTACAGGAGGAGTAGCCAAAAGTAGCCAAAACCATAGACGATGGATTGTTTAGTATGTTCTAGCAGTTCTTCTGCATGGTTTGACTATTTCTTATTTTTCGTTCAAAACCCGCCTGTACCTACGCCTGGCAGGCTGGGCGCTAGCGGGCCCGTGAGATGCCCCCCTTGGCGGCCTCCCCTGGGAGGCCCGAGTGCCAGGCCTGCTGGAGATCGCCACCGTCAGGGGGCTCGGGGAGAGGGAAGGTCACCACCTACCGGACCACCCCAACCCAGCCCGAAGGCTTCAATTTGCCCTCCATTTCCAGTGGGGGGGGGTCGGGGAACGTCGAAAAGACATATATATATATATATACATATATATATATATATATGTATACATATATATATATGGACAGCCCCTCCCCCAGCACCCATTCTTCGTATTTTTTCTTTTCACGTTGTCTTTCGCATCCCTTCCTCCGCTCCCAGAACTGGAGACACAGAGAGAGAGACGGGGGGTGGTGCCCCCAGGCTTCGCAAACAGTGTGATTTCACAGGGATCGCCGCTCCCTCGAGTCTCTCTCCCTCTCTCTCTCTCTCGCTGTCCTCCTCCGTCTCTGTCTCCCCCCTTCTCCTCCTCCTCCTCCTCCTCCTCATCCTCCTCCTCCTCCTCCTCCTCCTCCTTCTCTGAAACAGAGAGAGAGAGAGTGTGTGTGTGAGGGAGGGAGGGAGGGAGGGAGGGAGGGAGAGAGAGAGAGGGGGGGAGACTCGAGGGAGCAGCGATCCCTGTGAAATCACAATGTTTGTGAAGCCTGGGGGCACCAAACCCTGTTAGTTCATTGGGATTTTTGGAATTTCTGGGTCAAGAATCCCAGAACCCCTGTGATTTCATTTGGATGTTTGGGATTTTTTTGATTTTCAGTCCCATTTAAAAAAACAAGCGACGACGGGGCTCCCCAGGACTGGAGGATTGAAAATCCCAAAAATCAAAATGAAATCACAGGGGTTCTGGGATTCTTGACCCAGAAATCCCAAACATCCCAATGAAATAACAGGATTTGGTGCCCCCAGGCTTCGCAAACATTGTGATTTCACAGGGATCGCCGCTCCCTCGAGTCTCTCTCCCTCTCTCTCTCTATCTCTCTCTCGCTGTCCTCCTCCGTCTCTGTCTCCCCCCTTCTCCTCCTCCTCCTCCTCCTCCTCCTCCTCCTCCTCCTTCTGTGAAGCAGAGAGAGAGAGAGTGTGTGTGAGGGAGGGAGGGAGGGAGGGAGGGAGGGAGAGAGAGAGAGGGGGGGGGGGAGACTCGAGGGAGCAGCGATCCCTGTGAAATCACAATGTTTGCGAAGCCTGGGGGCACCGAACCCTGTTATTTCATTTGGATTCTTGGGATTTCTGGGTCAAGAATCCCAGAACCCATGTGATTTCATTTGGATTTTCAGTCCCAGAGAAAAAAAAACAAACGACGACGGGGCTCCCCAGGACTGGAGGACTGAAAATCCCAAAAATCCAAAAAATCCCAATGGCATCACATGGGTTCTGGGATTCTTGACCCAGAAATCCCAAACATCCCAATGAAATACCAGGGTTTGGTGCCCCCAGGCTTCGCAAACATTGTGATGTCACAGGGATCGCTGCTCCCTCGAGTCTCTCCCCCTCTCTCTCTCTCTCTCTCTCTCTCGCTGTCCCCCTCCGTCTCTGTCTCCCCCCTTCTCCTCCTCCTCCTCGTCCTCCTCCTCCTCCTCCTCCTCCTTCTCTGGAGCAGAGAGAGAGAGAGAGTGTGAGGGAGAGAGAGCGAGAGAGAGAGCGAGAGAAAGAGAGAGAGAAAGAGAGAGAGAGAGAGGGGGGAGACTCGAGGGAGCAGCGATCCCTGTGGAATCACAATGTTTGCGAAGCCTGGGGGCACCAAACCCTGTTAGTTCATTGGGATGTGTGGGATTTCTGGGTCAAGAATCCCAGAACCCCTGTGATTTCGTTGGGTTTTTTTTTTTTTTTTTTTTTTTTTGATTTTCAGTCCCAGAGAAACAAAACAAACGACGACGGGGCTCCCCAGGACTGGAGGATCGAAAATCCCAAAAATCCCAAACATCCAAATGAAATCACAGGGGTTCTGGAATTCTTGACCCAGAAATCCCAAACATCCCAATGAAATAACAGGGTTTGGTGCCCCCAGGCTTCGCAAACATTGTGATTTCACATGGATCGCCGCTCCCTCGCGTCTCCCCCTCTCTCTCTCTGTGTCTGTGTCCCCCTCCGTCTCTGTCTCACTCCTTTTCCCCCTCCTCCTCCTCCTCCTTCTATAAGCAGAGAGAAAGTGTGAGAGAGGGAAAGAGAGTTTTTTTTTCTCTCTCTCTCTCTCTCTCTTTCTCTCTCACTCTCTCTCTTCCTCTGTCCCCCTCCGTTTCTGTCTCCCCCCTCCTCCTCCTCCTCCTCCTCCTTCTCCTCCTCCTCCTCCTCCTCCTCCTCCTGTGAACCAGAGAGAGGTACAGAGAGAGAGAGGGAGAAAGAGAGAGAGAGAGTGAACCGTTCAACGACCGATGCAAAATGAATGGGTGCTGGGGGGGGGCTGCGCATATATATCTTTTATATATATATATATGGAGCCCATACCCCCCCCAACCCGAAATTCGGGTCTTCGGGTTGGGTTGGGGTGGTCTGGTAAGTAGTCAGGAAGGCCGAGGGGCCAAAGTCCCGATACTGTTTGCGCGAGCTTGCCCTTGATGCGGCCGCTGGCGGCTCCCCCTTAGGAGGCCACGCGTCATGCATCGCGGCGATCATGGGGCTCTGGAACCAATCGCCGAGAGGCCCAAGTTGCAATTCTGTCGCCGGGTCCTGACAGTCTTGGCTCGAACTGGCCCGTGATATCCCCCCTGGTGCCCCCCCCATTGAGAGGCCAGGTTGGAAAGTATTTGAGGCAAGCTTCCACAATTCCGTCAAGATGTTCAGATAATTGCTTGGGGCGCCCGACCTGTACCACATGGCCTGATATTGTATTATAGTGGGGGCGCGTTGTTAGTTCCTTCAAGGTACGCTGACTCACGCGAGCCACTCTTCCTTTCTTCCTTGTTGTGCGGCTGCTCCATCCTCCCACAGGTCTCGCCTCAGAGCCACGCAGTCTCCAGCGAGAAGACCATGTCGGATGGCGCAGAGGAGAAGAACGTAGAGTTCTGGGACCAGCTGGCCTCCTCCTCCTGCTCCTCCCTGGTAGATGTCGCCCCTGAAGGCAGAGGCCCTGAATTGAAGGGGCGCCGTGCGGTGAGCAGGGGGCACCAACTGGGCTTGGGCTCTCTTTTTGGCTCTGAGCCCGACATGCGGACAAGCTTCACACACAAATTCACTGCGTCTGGGATTTTCCAACTCCCTTGACAATCCCGCGACGCGGTGGATACGGATAAACATCTGGTCTCTGGTGAGGCATGATATTTGTCCATATCCAGTGCGTCTCGGATGCCTGGCATCCTCTCCCCAAACATACAATGCGCCGTGGATATGGATGCACATCTTGCCCACACGGCAGGCTGGAGCCACAGGCTCCCAAGCTCCGGCGGGAGGCTCCCGTGCCCAAGAAGCAGAAGCCCCTCTTTTTAAGGCGGCCACTCGTGAATGTCTGCTCCAAACGTCGAGTCCAACGCAGAATCTGTCCTCTTTCTGGTTGTCCCAGTCAGGTTGGTAGAGCTGGGTTGTTTGTCGAAAGGGGCGTGACGTATACCAGTGCCGCCTCGTCGATATCACCATGATGATCTTCTGGGCACAGTCTTCATCACCATGGCTTGACACAGCTCGAAGCACTTGATGTTCCATCCCGGGGTGCCGAGGTACTCAAGTTGTTTAGAAATCTCCTTTTGCACACCATCCCGCCCAACGGTCCATTCTGGCCGCACCCACAAGCGCTGAATCCGCGCCTGACGCGATCCACCCATCCCACGCGCCGCGAAGGACTACCAACCCCCACCCCCAACGCGATACGCCCCCACGCTCAGCGAACAAGCTGGAATATTAATGTTGTTGTTGCCGTAGCCATGTGAGCGCATCACATTGCCTTGGTTCAAGACGGGTGCTTCACAGAAGGCTGGCAGCGCCCCGACGCTCGTTCCCAGCACCCCATGGCCATGTCTGACAAGATCGTGGAGGACTCTTGAGATGAAGCGAGGTCTGCAGGCCAAGTTTTGCGATTTATCGATCCTCCAGGGAGCAGTCACAGCACTCTCCAAGTCGGAATTCATCGGTACTGCTGCCGAGGTCAAACATGTCCCAGGAGGCTACTGGTAGCACCCACCGCTACGTGACGACGATGATGTTGAGCATGGCCAAGGCAAGTCTGCCCTAGGGCCCCTGGTGCTTTTCTTCGCCATGCGCGTCACCCCACTCGTGCCCTGGGATGGGATGACATTGCTGGAGAAAGCACGGAGCGAGCTGTGGGACGACGGCTAAACCGAAAACGATTCGCGCATCCCCACCGTCTCGTCCAGAAGAGCCTCCCGAGAGAGTGCGGTCAAGCACTTTGGGATGGCGTGCCGCTCCGCCGGTTCTGGCCCACCACGCTTGGCGCGACACGCTATCCACTTCGCGGTCCCCGGGCGTCCACGTGCCGAGCTTTTCCCAGCCCGCCGCCCCGCGGAGCGGAGCGACACATTTGTGCGTCTGCAGGGCACAGCGTGTCGCAGGAGCCGCCACCGCGACGCGCTTCGCAGCAGTTCCCGACCGTAGCCCTTGCCAAGTAGGGCTGTGAGCACGCAGTAATGCACGCACGCTGGGAGGCGGCCAGCCGCCGTATCGTTTTCACGTTTCCCGTCAGGGCCTCTTGTACGGTCGTTGCGAAGGCCTTATCGGGGCACCTTGCAGTCAATCACAGAGGCCTTCTCGAAGCGTATAGGTCAAGTTCGAGCTGATCCGACTACGTGCCGTTGGGAAAAGGCGAGGGGACAAGAGGAGGAGGAAGAAGCGGAGGAGGAGGAGGAGGACGAGGAGAGAGGGATCAGCAGGATGAAGCAGGCGATGAGGACGATGATGTACAGTCGGCCCTGATTAGCAGGTCGACCCTGCCAAATCAAGGCGACCCTTGTGTCCTGTGTTTTGCGACCAGTGCCTCCTACATTCCTATGGCAACGTGGCCCTCGCAAGCGTTCTGTGTCCTCTCGCGTGTCCTGTCCAGTCCAGGCCGACTGTAGAGGAGGATGGGGAGGACAGGAGAAGGAGGGGGAGCAGCAGGTGGATGGCGAGAGCTCATACGCAGGAGCATGCAGGGAAAGGAGGGGGGAGGGGTGCAGCCCCTTCTGTGCCATATCCCCGTGCGGTGACATATCATGTGACCTATGGATGGCCTCCCGCTCCTCCTCCTCCTCCTCCTCCTCCTCCTCCTCCTGGGTACAGCGACCCGCACATTCATCGCATGTGCGACGCGATCCACGAGATTCACAGAGCGAACACCAAAGAACGACGTCATATTATACTCGGTGGCGACTTCAACGCGCAGATTGGGGCACCCCGTATATCAATAGACGGTGACGACGACGCCGACTTCACCTCATCACTTCCAGGTGTGTCGCCCGCCATGGATATGGGATCGAAAACTCGAGGGGTACACTGTTGCGACACCGGGCTGCCCATGAAGGGCTTATACTTGCCAACAAGTTGTTCCGATAACTTGTGCATGAGCAGAGCACATACATCAGCAGCGACAAGCAGACACAACTCGATTACATGCTGCTCAACCGCAAGCTCTTCAAGCATTGCACAAATGCCGAGGCCAACAATATGACCGACCTGGGCTCCGACCACAAGGCTGTCATGGCTGAGTTGAAGATACCAGAAGCAATGGTAATTAGACGACCGCGACGCGACGACGACCAGCGGCAGTGCAGACATGCACCACCCGACGCTTCCACCAGCAATATTTTGAATGTGAACGTCTACCACGACCATCAAAGACGACGACTGAAACCAGACGAACTTCCAACCGACCCACAATTCCTGGATGAGCACATCCAGCAACTTCTCATCGACGCCGCCGCCGCTAGCAGCGCTGGAGCACCACGGGCAGACCGACAACCAGACAGAGGAGCAAAGCGTTTACGCCTTCTCATCGCACAGCGACACCAGACCCCAAACAACGATCACCAAACCCGCAAACAACTGAGCACCTTGATGCAGCAGGAGATCCGCGCGCAGAAGCGGCGGACACGACGGGTCCATAAAGGAGGCGTGCTCGAACAGTTCAGAGACTTCATAAGTATCCCGCGCATCAAGACACGCAGAAAACGGACTTTCATTACACACATGACAGACAAAGGAGGCTCAAAACGCACGGCCTCGCAAGACATTGCAGATGTATGTGCGAAGTTGTACGAGCATTTATATGACACAACGGCCAAGCCGACGCAACGAGAGCGACGCGGCGACGACCTCCTACCTTTCACTGGCAAAGAGTTGGAGAATGCGATGAGAGGGCTCCGGCTTGGCAAATCTCCAGGCGCCAAAGGCCTACGAGCAGAAATGCTGAAGGAAAGCACCGACGAACTGCATGGCGATAACACGATCATCAAGTCCGACGCTCCGCCGCCATCCAGCTGGAAGAACACTGTCGTCACGGTCGTTCCCAAGAGTGGCGATCTAACACTTCCGCAAAACTACCGGATTATTTTTCAAGCTTTCCAGCAGACGTCTCTACACCAGACCCCAACCAACACTCAACTCCCAACAAACTGCAGACCAGGCCGGCTTCAGGCCAGGGCGCTCGACCACCGACCATTTGCTCGCTTCCACAACCTTCATGAGCGCGCGCACGAATGGAACCAGAACGTGTGGATAGCCGCGCTAGACTTCAAACAAGCTTTTGACACAGTCGAGCACGATAGCATGTGGGCAGCCCTGGGGGCGCAGGGCGTCCAACCAGGATACATCTCACTACTCCAACGGCTGTACGAGGGACAGACGGCCACGGTTAAGATTGACGTCAGCAGCAGTTGCTTCAGTCTCCTCCGGGGAGCGAAGCAGGGCGACCCGCTCAGTTCCTTACTTGTCAACGCTGTGCTACAACATATTTTTGCACCACTTATCGCCGACTGGCAAAACAAGGCCGGGGTAGTCCAGCTAGGATTCACCACCACCTCCGCACTTACTAACCTCTGCTTCGCCGACGACGTGCTCCTGAGCAGCCAACCACTACCGCGCCTCACTGCGATGCTCGACGACATCGCGCGCGCAGTGCGACCTCACGGACTTGAGCAGCACCCTTCCAAAAACCCAAAGACTCAGCAACCAGACCAGACGGAACGGCAGGGAAAGCTCGCGCACTTTGCACATTCAGGACATGGACGCCGACATCCTTCCCCACGATGGCAGCATCAAATAATTGGGTCAACCCATCAGTTGCCACGACGAAATGGAGACGGGAATCCACCACCGCACGAGCGCAGCATGGGCAACGTTCGCTTCGCGCAAACAGGAGCTAACAAGCAAACAGTACCCGCCGGCACACCGACTCCGGCTTTTCAACCGGACAGTCACACCCGCAACACGCTACGGAGAAGAGACGTGGACGCTCACGGGATCTCTCTGGCAACACCTGCGGCGAACACAACGACGCATGTTCCGCATGCCGCATGATCATCAGGGCACCAAGGCGATGCGCTACCCGCCAAACGACCCCGACGAGCAGCACCCAGGGCCACGCGGACGGCCGCACGACCACCCAAGCACTTCATCAAGAAACCAGCAGCAGCGACGACGCAGAGAGCAATACGCCCCAACGAGGCACGACAGACCGACACAGCGAGAGCAACGACAACATCAATGACGAGGACGCGATGGATCCGTGGGTCGACGACATCAGCGAGCCACGCGGCGCGCAGAGCAGCTCATGCAGCACGACCACATTCACATAGGGTGATGTTTCGCAGGCGGAGGTTGTGGCGCATGGCATCCAAGGTAACCGACCACGAGCCCACCAGATGGACGTAGCGAGCACTCCACTACCAACCAGGAAAGAACTCAAACCAACGCGGCTGGAGACGCCACGGCGGCCAGCGCAAGCGCTGGGATGACGACCTCGTCAGCTTCCTCCAAGAACAATGGCCCGACTTGCAACCAGCGCCCACACCAACCAATGAGCAAGGCAAGCCAAGCGACCTTACCTGCGTTCGCTTAGCTCAAGACACTTCCACGTGGTCGACACTCGAGCACACATGCGTCAGCTCTTCGCCGACACTCACAACCAGGACGTCCTCCTCTCTTCCTCCTCCTCCATCATAGTGTTTATTGTGTTGCGCAAACGCATTACTTGTTGTCTGTCTCGCAGTCCCTATGCATGTCTGCATGTGTACAGGAGGCCTTGGCCTCGCCCACCTGGTCTTCGCAGGCCCGGACAGCTGTCCGATGTGGTGGTTCGTTCGTTCGTTGATTCGTTCATTCGTTCCTCCTCCTACTCCTCCTCCTCCTCCTCCCACGATGGCCTTTGGTGCTGAACTCCTCAGTCCATGGCTTCGCTTCCTGGGGCCATTGAAGAGCTATCGTGGGAGGCCCTCTCTGGGGGAAGGGGAGTGGTCTCCCAAAGGGGCCAGATCATGAAACTGCGAGGAAGTTTCCGTCATCTGCCGTCGCTTCTCGATTTTCTTTCGGCTGTTGTCATGTGTCTCGTTTTCTGCTGTCCCTTTCTCCACGTTATTTAGCTTTTCCACTGCGCCCTCTCCTTTCAAATCCAGGCGACGCATTAAAAAAATACGACTTGTGTAGTTCAGCGTGTTTCTACCTCTGGAGGCCTTTTCCCGGCCCCGCGACAGGACCGTCGAAAACGAAGCGGGACGAGCCACCGGCCCTGGGGACGTGGTCGAGGTGACGGGGTCCCGTGCCACGAAGGACGTCCGCCATCGGAGGAGAGGGTCCGTCCTTTCCCCACTACCCTGCGCCGCCGTGGCAGCGGGCGGAAGAGGGAGGTTGCGGCCGGGAGCTCTGGGGATAGCGCGTCGCTCCGCCGGTTCTGGCCCACCGCGCCTCGGCGCGGCACGCTATCCACTTCGCGGCCCCCCGGCGTCGGCGCCCCCGGCCTTCCCAAATGTTTCTCGTCTCGCGGGGCGGAGCGGCACGCCATCCGCTCGCGTGGCATGGCATCGCGCGTCGCCGGGGCCGCGGTGTCGACACGCTGTCCTTGAGTCGGGCACGGCCCTCGAAGGAATGCTCAAACACAGTATAACAAAATGGTCTGGAGAGGATGTTTTGAGTATTATGGGGGGGGGCATGTTTTGTGCATGTTTTGACTACTGTCCAAAATCCGCCTGTAGGGGGACGCGCCCGAGCTAACGCGATCCAGATGATCCGACCGTAGCGCATCGTGTTACTGTTTGACCTCGTCGAGCCAGGGACGATGCGAGTTTGAGCAGTTTTTCGACGACTTCCCCGCCGATCTGCCTCTCGACTCGTGCGTCGCCCGTCTTGGCATGAGGCATGTGCAATGTGGTGTCATTCGTTCCCGCCGTTTGTGGCGGACGTGCGTGTCAGATGCAGAGGAGGGGACGTCTTTCCCTTCCTGTTGCAATGAATCCAAATCTTTTGCGACGTATCCCACGCGTCTCCTGGACGAGTGCCTCTGGACGCGTCTCCTGTCGTGATCTGGAGCTCTGTCGAACGACAAGGGTGCCGGTCTCCAGCGACTGGCCCACGAACCTGTGCGTTGGAGACAGGCGCCCCTCCTTCCCAGAACCGCTCTCGTCGCTCCCCTGCCCTTTCCCGGCCGACTCAGCAACCCCCCCGGTGCCACAGGACTCCTTCATCGAACGCGGTTGAAGTCCAATCGGGTGCAGGCAGCTTGCGACGACGACGCTTGTGCTTCTGAGTGGCCCTCGTTCCTGCAGCTCTGTCCACGTTCTGCTGTCACGTCCCTGACCCCCTCTCGCATCACTCCGCCTGATCCCCTGGCTATCAGTTGTTGTTAACGCCCTCTTCCGTTTACGTCTCGCCATGCGTTTCCAATCCGTTGTTGCACGTCGGTATAATCTAATTGTTTCCTCCCTTCTCTGAAGGATCACGATGTCTCCACGATGGCAGCTTGCCTGGCAGTCCCCTATTCATGTCCGCTACAAACTATAGACTTAGACACCCTCTAATGGATTGTTCCTGAGCCTCAGGGGAGGGTGGCGGTGTATAGATCACCACTGAGAGCCAGCGACTTTCTACATCGCAGCCCTCCCTGAAGCCAATTACATGCAAAGCTTCTCGGAGGGGGTTTGTGTAGACATTTTCGGGGCGTACTATTCCTCTTGGTTTTCGGGCCACCACCATGGGGTCACCGGCGGCTGTTCGGGACGATCCGGGCACCCCTGGAGCGCCCTCGGCGAGGCGCAGCCTTTGGAAGGCACCCCGAGGCCAGAAAGCCGCCGAGAACCGACGAACACGTCCGGAGACCTCCAGCCTCGAGCCCGCAGCTTTCGCCCGCGAGGCCGTCGGCAGCGTGCTGGAGAACCACAACCTGGACCTGCGGAAGACCCCGCGCGGCCAGCGCGCCCTCGAGGATCCGCGCGCCCGGAGCCTCGCGCCGCGCGCCCATGGTGCGCGGCGAGTCTCAGGAGGGGAAAACACACACAGACACAATTAATCCTCGATTCCCCAGAAAATATAGGGAATATTTGTATTTGTCTGTATTTATTTGTGTGTCCTGGGGCCCCTTCAGAGTCGGCCGCTGCGCCAGCCTGTTCAGGGTGCCGTGCGGGGCCGTCCGGAGCTCTGGCTCTCTGGGCCTCCTAGATGGGGTCCGAGTGGATGGGGTCGGAGGATGGCGCCGCATCGTCGATGCATGGGCGATGCGGCTCGATGTCAAGCCCGATGTTCTCCACGCTGGCGTCGCCGATGCATCGCATCGCCGATGCATCGTCGATGTATTGGCGGTGCAGCGCGATCCTTCGACCCCATCTACTCGGACCCCATCTAGGAGGCTTCTCGGCTTGGCGCGTCGCTACAGGGTGTCGGACGGCGCTAGGACGAGGATAAATCCCTTCCAGAGCGTTTCGAAACGCAGAGCGTTCCGGAACGCTCCGAGAAGGCCGCGGCGCCCGAGACATCCTCCAGCGCCGCCGGATCTCAGAGGTTCTCGACGTATTTATCCTCACCCGAATTTAGCCTCGACTTGGCCTCGTCTCAGGGTGTGGTGATCGAGGAGATCTGGCGCCGACGTAGCGTCGATCAGCGCCGATGTAGCGTCGAGTAGCGACGATCCAGGCTCCCACGAGATGCCGCAGAAGGCTCAGCTCGCCCGGGGGCGGAGGGCCGGCGGAAGGCCGGCGGAAGGCCGGCGGAGGCCGGCGGGAGTACGGCCAGGCGTTGTTGGGCAGCGTGCCGCTCCGCGGGTTCCGGCCCACCACGCCTCGGCGCGGCACGCTGTCCTCGGGGGCAAACGACAGGGGGGGGGGGGATGGGCTCACGGGAGGGACGCATCGACCTCCAGTCGCCCATGGCTCGCCGAAGGGGACCCGATAGCCCCAGCCTGCCCAGGAGCGTGCGCAATCACTATCGGGGGCCTGTGGCCGATCTTTCGGCGATGTCTCGCCGATTCCAGGTCGATGTTCCCCACTTATGCCTATCCCCCCTTGTCGTTGCCCCTCATATCCACTTCCTGGTCCCCCAGCGTCAACGTCCCGAACCTTTCCGAGCCTACGAGCATCCCGCCCCGCAGAGCGGGGCGACACGCCATCCGCTCGCAGGGCATGGCGTATCGCGGGCGGCTGCCGCCGCGACACGCTAAGGAAACGCTACACGCCAGGGTTGTGCTTCTTGTGAAAGGAGGGCGAGATGAGACAACGATCGATGGCCTTCGGGTGACCCCCATTGTCGCCAGGGCTGCACGCAGGTCGGAAAGCTGGTACGTTCGGACCCAGGGTTGTGCTATCCTCTGCTCACCTCGAAGAGGAAGAACAAACAAAACATAATTTCGCTGAGCTCCGCGCGGGGTTCAGGGGTCAGAGCGCGGGCCCAGCCAGCGGCGCATCTTGCGCCGCCCCTGGCGCGCTCCGCGCCACAGGGGTGGGGGTCTTGCGCCAGCCCGTGGGATCCTCGCGGACCTCCGAGGAATTACGTTTATGCATTGTTTTCGTTCATCTAGCTTACAATCAACCCGCAGATCAAGGATGAGCAATTTTCCAAACATGCCCTTGCATGCTTCCCCTTCGGCCCATTCTTGGCCGCTCTCGCTGGCAGCGCCCCGCCCGCAAGTTGTCGACATGGCCTTCCAATGCCCTTGCATCCTTATCGTGCGTCCTTATTATACGGGTTGACTGTAACCAGAGGGTATTATTCTCGGTGCTTGTTTTTTTGCTTCTCAACAGATGCCTGGAAGACGCTCCGAAGAAGCATGCTGGGGGCTTGTCGGGGCGCTTCAGAGGCATGGTTGGAGTCGCGGGGCCGTCCACGGGGGGTCGAGGCCGCCTGGCAGAGGTCTCGAGGCCGTTCGTGGGGGGGCGCAGCCTTCGAGAGGTATTGGCATGTCCTGGGGCCGTCGTGGAGCAATCTCGACCCGTCGAGTGGTCATTACCCCTTTCGTCCGACCCGAACTTGTGTGGGGAAACTTAAGACTCGAGTTCACCCGCACTCGAGACGGTCCCAATATGAGTTTTGACGACGAGCGACGACGACGACGACGACGAGCGTCGGGGCATTGTCATGCCCCTCTCAGCGACCCGGCGTGGGATCCGCCGACGACGACGACGGAAGACGAACGACGACGACGATGAATGACTGAGGAAGTCTTCGCAACTCAGGCCTCGGGCTCCCATGGGGCTGCACCATGACCGGGACAAGTACAGAACATTGTACTACCCCTCTCAGCGACCCGGCGGGTTATCCGCCCGCCGTTGGCGACGACGAACGACGACGAATGAAATCTCGTATTTCATGCCTCGGGCTCCCCCCATGGGCTGCATCGGGCCAGAACAAATATCAGGCAATGCCCCGTCACTCCCAGCGACCCGGCGTGGGATCCGCCGCCGACGACAACGACGTCGACGAAAGACGAACGACGACAATGAACGACGACGACGACGAACAACGACGACGACGACGACCACGATGACGACAACGACGACGACGAGGACAACGACGACGACGACAATGACGACGACGATGACGACGACCAACGGCGGAGGAAATCTACGCATTTCAGGCCTCGGGCTCCCATGGGCAGATGCGTATCGAACATTCCCCTGCCCCTCGGCGACCCGGCGGTGGATCCGCCGCTGACGACGGTGACGACAAAACGGAGGAAGTTTGCGTATCTCATGCTGGGGAGGCCCCTGTGGCCTCGCATGCGCAGGTTTGGCACTGCGCCCTGCTCCTCTCACTCGGAACGTCGGGCCCCCTTTGGTTCCCAGACCTCCCCGCGTCGCGAACAAAATCTCAACAGAAGGCGTTTTACTGGAGTCGGCCTTTGGCGTCACCGAATAATAATAATCACAACGGAGGTTACGGGCTCACCGAATAAAACACAACCTCCCAGACCCGCTCGGCTCGTGACAGCAATCACGACGGGAGGTATTTGGCCTTTTTCAACATTCTTGGGGCCCTCGCCAGGCCCCAGACCGTCAGAAAACAATGGAGGATGACAGGCCAGTCCCACGGATTGGGTTGAGACTTTCAGAGGTCCGCGTTGTGAAACAAATCACGTCGTCGGGGGTCTGGGTCATACGATTCCAGTGGGATCCGTTTCGAATTTGATTGGATTGCAACGACAAGCACGAGGCGATCGAGTAACGCTGGGACACGACAGCTCCTTGCACGGTAAATCTCGTGGTGTGCAGTTTGACGCGCGTGGTGACCTTCGCCGCGGTGTTTTGGACTGCCGGCTCCGAGACCCCCCCTCTCCGCAGAATTAAGTTCGTGGAAGCGTGAGACTCGAGTACGCCGGAACTCGGGTTTGCCGACGCTTTTTGACGAGCGCGTCCTGGATTTGATGGTCCAGTTGTCGTTGGATGTTTGCAGCGGGAGGTCGCGTCAGGTTTCAGACCTAGTCTTATGATGACCGCGTCAGGCAAACCCGAGTCCCCCGAACCCGAGTCTTACGTCTCCCTGAAAGATGTGGACCTTTGCAGGGATGCGGGCGGACGGTGAGGGACGAGAGGGACGAGAGGGACGGAGTTCCTCCCATCCGCAAGTATCTCTTTCATCTCCGGGACAGGAAGTAGGATGAGGAAGAGAAGGAGGAAGAAAACGAGGGTCTAGAAATTTCTTGCTGCCCCGCGCATCCCCATCATTACATCCACAAGCGATTCCAGGCGAACTGCAATCCTGGAGCAATCTTGGACGCTATGGTCTGGGCCTCCCAGATGGGGTCCGAGTAGATGGTGTCGGAAGATCGCGCCGCATCGCCGCCGATACATCGTCGATGCGGCTCGATGTGGAGACCGATTTTCTCCATGCCAGCGGTGCCGATGCATCGGCGATACGGTGCTATCCTCCGACCCCGTTTAGAGGAAGAGGGGGAGGAGGATGATGATGAGGAGGAGGAGGAGGAAGAGGAGGAGCTGGACAGGAGGAGAGGAGGAGAAGGAGAAGGAGGAGGAAGAGGAGGAGGAGGAGGAGGAAGAGGAGGAGGAGGAGAAGGAGGAGGAGGCGGATGAGGAGGAGGAGGAGCTGGACAGGAGGAGAGGAGGAGGAGGAGGAGGAGGAGGAGGAGGAGGAGGAGGAGGAGGTGGAGGAGGAGGAGGAGGAGGATGAGGATTTTTCACTGTGTGCGAACGCCAAGCAAAACTCTGCAAGCAGGTTAAAACTTCGCGGCATGAAAAATGAGGCTAACTGCATAAATCTGCCTAGCCAGCGTGCGCCTGCAGGGCCGATACGACCGGCAGGAGCCTTGTAGCCTCTACCGGGACCAACCGCGACGCTGCACTCAAAACGGGTGCCACTAGTCATGGCTCTTCCCGCAGCTGTCTAAGTACCTCATCTCCGTCGGAAAAGCGGCTGAGCAACTCGAGGTCAGAGACCGAGAGCGCCTTCGCACCCTCGTCAAAACTCGAGCAGGAAAAATGCTGCCCAGAAAAAGCCGAAACTTCCACCTCACCCGAAAGAGCGCTCATAGCCATCTGATCGGAGGGCGCCTCAACCGAAGGAGGCAGCCCCAAACCAGCGTCAACGGACACTCCTGGGCAAGCCTCGGAAAGAGGCTCAGCCAAAATGGCAGCTGAAAGGCGAACCTCATCAGACGGAGGCTCAGCCAAAAAGGAATCCACAAGAGTAGGGCGAGCCTCAACAGTTGGAGGCTCAGCCAAACCAGCACTTGAGGAGACCACTAAGGGAGATATTGCAGAAGCGGCTTCAGCGACAGACGAGCGAGCCTCATCAGAGGGAGGCTCAGCCAAGAATGCTTTAGAAACCACATCTTCATGCACAGCAGCGGCTTCAGTGACAGACGAGCGAGCCTCATCAGAGGGAGGCTCAGCCAAGAATGCGTTTGAACCCACATCATATTTCTCCCTCTTCTTGTGTTTTCTTTTACGGCGCACGCGCTCGCCGATAAAGAAATTCAAGGCCTTGGCGTCCTCCTCGGCGGGGTGCGGGGAATGCGGACCGGTGGAGGCGGCGGCGGCAGCACCTGCACCACAGAGCTGGTCGGTGCAGCACTTGCTGGCGGGGGTGCTGGCGGCCACTCCTTCAAGCCCGCCTTGGCCTCCTCCGAGCGGACATCCTTGTTCTTCTTCTTGTGCTTGCGCTTCCGAGGGCGCTTGGCCACTGCCACCGCTGGAGCCGGAGGCGGCGTCGGGATCTTCAAGCAAGCCCTCGGAGCGTCCTGAGACTCCGGAGGAAGCGAGAATACCTCCTTCGCTACCGGCGGTGTCGGGGACCTCGTACTGGCACCGTCGCACTTCTCCTTCAAAGCCGGGGCCACAGGCGGAGCCGACGCCTCCTTCTGGTTGACCTGCAAACGGTCCCATCTCCTCAGGCGTTTTACTGGCTGTACCTCCTCCTCCTCCTCCGGCTTCAGCGGCAGGGAATCCTGCCCCGGAATCTGCATGCCCTTGCTGAACTCCATGTCCACCACATCGACCAGGCTCCAAATCCCTGGCGGCGGCGACGGGGGGGCAGCCGTAGACAGAGCCTCCTGCGAAAACGACGATCTCGAGCTCATCGTTGGAAACTCCGAAGCACTGAGTGAAAGCACTAATACGGTGTCCTAGTGAGATGCCCAGCAAATCAACCGGCACAAAAAAGCGCATGGACGGGGCCTTGAGCTGGGGTGGCTTGAGCCAGGAGGAGGAGGAGGAGGAGGAGGAAGAGGAGGAGGAGGAAGAGGAGGATGAGGAGGAGGAGGAGGAGGTGGAGGAGGAGGAGGAGGTTTGCCTTCCTACCTTTTACCGTACAACCCCCCAGTCGGTGATACCAGTCACCTGGCTCACTAGTTTGATCAGCCCAGGGCCGACCGGCCGTTTGGTGGGAGGCCAGCGCCAGCACGACTTTTTCTGCATTCAGGTGGAGGTGCGGCCCCCCCCCCCCGCCTAAGCCCCGCCCCCCGAGCGCCCCACCCTCTTCAAGTCTGGCGCACACCGGCACGCTCCCTCCCCCCGCTCCGGGGCTGCGGCGGCACCCACTGCCTCCCCTCGTCTCCCCGCCTGCGCGTCTGTGTGTGTGTGTGTGGTGTGTGTGTGTGTGTTGCCTTGATCGCGTGTCGCTAGAGGGTTCCAATGTCAGGAGGGAGAAAGACACGCAGACACAAATAATCGTCTATCCCCAGGAGCATGTAGGGAAAGTGTGAGGCGGAGGGAGAGACGATCATCCAGAAAGTATGGAAAATGCTGGAACTCCTGGGATGCGTGTCTATATATTTGCACATATTATCTACATATAGTTATATGTCCGTCTGTCTGTATATCTGTCTGTCTGTGTGTATGTCTGTATGTATGTCTGTTCCTGGGCCCTTCATGACGGTGATAGAAGTCGGCCACGCGCAAAGGGGGGCAAGGGGGATGGGGGAAGGCTTCTTGGAGGCACCCCTGCTTCTCAGAAGGAGCGGGCCTTCTCTCTGGACGTGGAGCCGGCGCCTTCTGCGAAGCAGCCACCTTCAAAGCAGCCTTCCCCCCTCCCCCAGGCCTCCTCGCGCGCGCCGCCACAGACAATGCATCAGGAGGATCCCGCATGGGTGCCGGGGGCCCGAGACCGTCCAGTCTGGCAGCCGCTTCGCCTGACGCTCCACCCCGAAGTACTCGGGAGGTGCGCTCTCGCCTCGAGGCTGGCTGCCCATTTGGTCTGGACGCCCACGAGCCCTTGCAAGACACTGCGGTGCACATGGCCGTGCTCACACCCCTGACTCCTAACAGCCGCCTCCTGCTCCTCGGCCCGCCTCTTCACCTTTGCTGCACTCGGGGCGTCCTGCCGGGGTCCAGACGTGCTGGCTGGGGTCGGAGCAGATGGGGTCGGAGGATCGCGCCGCATCGCCGATGACATCGACGATGCGGCTCGATGCGGAGCCCGATTTGCTTCACGCCGACGTCGCCGATGCACCGCCGACGTCGACGATGCACCGCCGACGTCGACGATGCATCGCCGGTGCATCGCCGATGCATCGCCGATGCATCGCCGATGTATCGGCGATGCGGCGTGATCCTCCGACCCCATGTGCTCCGACCCCAGCTAGGAGGTATCTAACCTTAGGTCGGTCATGTCCCTCTACAGGCGGATTTTGGACGACAAATGGAAAGTAGTCAAAATAATGCCAGCGTAGTAAAACAAAAAAAACATCCCAGAGTTATTTAGTGATTATTTTTTCAATACTCCTCCTGTAAAGGCACAGGCCCGACTTGAGTCTAACCTCTCCCTCCTCGCACCGCTCCCCACCCCCTGCCTCCCCGTCGCCGCCCCTTGCTGGCTCGCCCCCTCCCGCTCTCCCGCGCGGCCGCGCCCCCCCACGGAGCCTGGCGGCCCCCCTGGCAGCAGGGCTCGAGCGGAGGGGTGTTTTTGGCGAGTTCGTGGATGGTTTTCCACCGGAAAAAAGGGTATCCATTCCGCTACCCTTCCCTGGTTTTCCCTTTTCTGCCTCCTGGGCGGCCCTCGTCACCACCGTTGGATTCGCCTCGAAATCCTGGTCAGAACGCACCCCAGGAGAGGTCCAGGGAGTAGCGGTATCAGTACCTTGTGGTTTCCCCAGTTTTGGTTTTGATTCCGTTTCGCAGCAAAGGCAGCACGACGGCAGAACGAAAGAAAACGAAGACATTGCGAACATGAGAAGCACTGTTTAGCTCGAGCCCTGCCTGGCAGCGCAGCTTGACACATGAGGCCCCCGGCGGCATGGGACCGCGCCGCCACTCTTGGCACCCGCGCCGGCGACCTGCTCTCGGGACGCGAGGGGCGGGACCCTGCCGGGGATACGCAAGACTCAGTCAGTGGCGAGGCGTCTTGCCTGGCCTTAGCTGCCTCGATACGCCCATGTTGAGAATTACGCAACACGTACCGTGCTCAAAACGTCCGTGTCAATATGTTGCGTGTTGGCTCAACCTATTGGCCCGCGTTTTGGCGAACGTGTTGCGTCGGACCTACGTTTCCAGTCTACGCGTTGAGCTCCGTATCAATGCGCTACGTGCTGCGTGTTGCGTACCTGAGCAGCGAAGGTCTTGGCCTGCCTGGAGGCCCGCATAATGCTCTACGTACCCGATGAGGTCTGCACGAACTGTTCTTAGAACATTTCTGGCTGAGACCATCTTGTTTTGATACGTCGCTCTATGTTCTGGTGTTTGTGTGATTGGAGCATTCGTTCGTTCTAAGAAAAGTATCGCTGCCCAAAAGACTAGGGTGGTCGGTCCCTGCTCAAAAGATGCGAGTTCGCCGGATGCCGACGCTGTTTGACGGGCCAGTCTTGATTTTTGACGGTCCAGGTTTCGTGGGATGTCTGCAGCGGGAGCTCGCGTCAGATTTCAGATTGGGTCTCGTCGTTTTCCTGACGGCCCCGTGTGGCCAGCTCGAGTCTCCGAACCTGAATTTTACGCCTCCTCGACCGGGGGCGCCGACATTTGGGGACTTGGTTCAATCGCCCATGCTCGAAGAAGAACATCTGCATAAACATGACTTTCGGCGGTCCGCGCGGATTTCTGGGATCTGCGCTACCACCCCCTGGCGACGCCTTCAGCGCCGCCCCTGGCGCGCTCGGCGCGCCAGAGAGGGGGAATCCGCGCAGATCCAAGACAGCCGCGCAGACCTCCGAAAGTATTTATTCATGCCGTCCTTGTTCCTCTGCATTCCTCGTGGATCGGGGCCTGGGTGTCCCAACCTGCCCTGGGACACAGGGTTTCCCCATTGGGGCATATCGCCGATCTGTTGGCGATCTATCGTCGATTCCAGTTTCCCCCCTTTCGTGTCCCCTCACTGGAAGCTATTCCTCGATTGGCCTCCAGAGGTTGCTTCTGGGCCCCCGGACCATTGCGGCGCAATCTGGGACGAAAAGGAGACCCTTGGCATTGTGCCAGGAGATCGGGAGACCTGCGTCGAGAAAAATGCACCGCGTCGGAGGTCGGTGCATGTTTCAGGTCACCCGCAGCATATAGGGCCGCCTGGGGGCGCAAAGATGCTGCGCGGCGTTGCAGGGGCGCGCTAATCCAGCAAGTGGTGAGGGCGCGTCAAATATTGCAGCCAGAGAGTGGTTCTGGGGTACGGCTTCGACGAGGGTCGGTATCATTCGTTATTGACTATGAGGAACTATTCGGCAATTTTGAGGGCCAGCTAATGGCTTTTGGGAGTCATTGGGCAAAAAGTACATGAGCGGCGTGTCGAAATGGGACCCATGGGACCCCTGGTTTGTCACAGAGCACGAAGTGCGTGAGGCGTGCACCCAACGTAAGATCCAGCCCGCCGTCTTGAGGAACATCTGCGGGCCTCCGGGGGTCGATGTTTGCAAGAAGTGCGTGAAGGGTGTGCCTAGATGAGGCTTCATTAAGCCGTCTTGAGAGGCTAGCTAGGGGCCCTTGGTAGTCCATAGGGTACGAAGTGCTTGTGGTGTGTGTAGGTGTGTGCGTGTGTGGTGGTGTGGTGTGTGCAGTTGTGTGCGTGTGTGTATGTGCGTGTGTGTGCGTGTGCGTGTGCGTAGGTGCGTGTGTGCGTGTGTGTATGTGTGTGAGGGTGCGTGCGTGCGTGTGTGTGTGTGTGTGTGTGGGTATTCTTGCGTGTGTGTGCATGTGTGTGGCTTGTGTGTGCGTGTGTGCGTGTGCGTGTGTGCGTGTGCGTGTGTGTATGTGTGTGTGAGGGTGCGTGCGTGTGTGTGTGTGTGTGCGTGTGTGTGCATGTGTGTGGCTTGTGTGTGCGTGTGTGTGTGTGTGTGTGTGCGTGTGTGTGTGTGGGGCGGGCGCTTGTGTGTGCATGTGTGTGTGCCTGTGTGTGCGTTTCTGCGTGTGTGTGTGTGTGTGTACCTGTGTGTGTGTGTTGCGTGTATGTGTGCGTGTGCATGCGTGCGTGAGTGTGTGTGTGTGCGTGTGTGTGCGTGTGTGTAGGTGTGTGTGTGTGTGCGTGGATGTGTGTGTGTGTGTGCGTGCGCGTTTGTCAGAACAGGAAAAACACATAAACACAAAGGGTAGTCTTGTTTTTCGCCGGAAGGGGGCGTCGTTGAGAGGGTGCCTGGCACGGATGCGGGGATCGGGGTGGCGCCCGTATTTGGAGCTAGCGGTTTGTATGGCAAGTGCTTTTAGCTGGCCGCATTTGCTTGGAACGCGCGACGGGTGGACAGGCCGCTCGCCAGCACTTGGCAGTCCTCTGCCCGCGTGCCAGAACATGCCGTCGCGCGCTCGCAACGGGGTGTTGGAAAGGGGGCTGGGAAGAGAGCGCGAGTCTCCTTCCCAAAAAGTCCCTTCGATAGGCAGCAAACAACTCTTGTCCTACTCATATGCCGCATGGCCAACCGAACGAACGAACAACTGTCTCGGCGCGCAGTGTTAGCTTCGCTTTTGCGCATCCTGGCTTCCTTCCGCTGCTTCTTTCGGTTATTTCTCGCCCTCCTCTTCCTTTTCCTCTTCCCCTGCTTTGCCTTGTCCCGCCCCCCTTCCGTTCCAGCTCGGAGCTGTCACCGCGCGCGAAAAGCGCAACCCAAAGGGCGTTGCTGAGATTTCCTTTGCGTGCCACGAAGTCTCGTGTGATTCCTTTGTGCGCGGTCTGGCTACATTGCCAAAACGGGGGGCACACAAAGGAATTTCCTCTGTGTGCGACCACCTTCGCAGGCCCCACAAGAGCACGCGCGATTCCTTTGTGTAGAGCTTGTTGTCCCGCCTCGGGGAGCGCACGGGGCCTGGCGCTACAAACGCAAGGCCGCGGCGCCAGGCAGCGCGATGCAGCTGCGCCGGATACCACGCCCAAAACGGTCCCACGTGGATTGCGGCACTTATGCTGAAATCGCGCTGGCAGCTGGCCAGCCACATCGCCGGCGCTGCGTGCCCTCGCGCGCTACTCCGTTTTGCTGCCGCGACGCGTGCTGCTGTCAACGGATGAACAAATTGACGTTGCATGGTCCATGGCGGTTTGGCTGTGCCAAACCACCATGCGGAGCTTGGGATCTTGTCGCCGCCGACAGCGCTGCCACACCATACCTTTTCAAGTGCATCTTAGAGCACGGCCGTACATCAACCCTGGGTCGGATCGCCCGGGATCCAGTGGCATGGGTGCACATGCGTCGCACCGTTGGTGGTGCCAAAACCGTTTTGTGTGAAATTGTTTTGTGTGTGTTTCTTGCTGGCTCCTATTTTGTGCGTGCGTGCGTGCGTGTGTACGTGTGGTGTGTGTTCGCCACAACGAGAATATGTTCAGCCGTCTTGGGGGCCATCTGAGGGCCCCTTTGAATGCACTGGGCGCAAAGTGCACGCGGGGAGTGCAGAAATGAGTCTACCTTGAGCCACCTTGACGGGCCAGCTGAGAACACTTGGGGCTTATGGGGCACGAAGCGCGTGAAGGGTTCGTCGAAACGAGCACCTATTCAGCCGTCCGGAGGGCCAGCTGGTGGACTATGGAGGTCCATGGGGCACGAAGTGCGTGTGCTGTGTGCGTGCGTGTGTGCCGACACGATGCTCCCCTGAGCCTTCTTGAGGGGCCAGCTGTTGAAGTCAATAGGTCACGACGTGCGTGGTGGGTGTGCCGAAATGACGATCCATTCAGCCGTCTTGAGGGCAAGCTGGTGGCGTCGGGATTTCCGTGGGGCACAGAATGTGTGTGGGTGGTGTGGCGACATGAGGCGTAATTGAGCCGCCTCGAGAGGCCAGATGAAGAGTCCCATCTTGAGACAGAACCGTCCTTTACCCGTGTGCGTAATTGTGTCAAATGTATATACTCGTGCCGATATGTGTTTGAGGAAATTTCAGGCGGGAGACATGCTTGCAACAACCAGCCGGCATCTAGCCGCGTATGTGTTGCAAGATTTAAGGACGAATGCTGCAGGCCTCCATGTTGTAATGGTATTGGCCGGCATGCGTTTAGTTTTTTGACATTTGAAGCTTCCGGACAGCACAGTGCAAGGACGTTTCTAGGCAAAGCACCCAGGCCAGTCTACGGGCGCGCCTGTTGGTGCGACAAGGATCTGTTATGAGGAAGCGGGAAGGAAGCGGAGGAGGAGGAAGAGGAGGAGGAGGACGACGGGGATGGAGGTGCAAGAGGAGGAGTTCGAAGGAGGGAGAGAGGAGGGTCTCACGCTCAACGTCGGTTATGGCAGGTGCCGCTCTCGGCAGGAAGGAGAACGAGGGAGAACGAGCGGGGAGGGAGGATGTTCAGGGAGCGAGGGGTTGCGGAGGCGAGAGTCAGAGGAGGAGGAGGAGGAGGAGGAGGAGGAGGAGGAGACGGAAGAGGAGGGAGGACGACGAGGACAGAGGAGGCGCTTTCCGCGTGATCTGCTCTCGGTATTGTTGTCCCCACTCGCGCACTTTCTGCTTGTGTTGCTGACATCGGGCGCTGTATGCTTGTGTGTGTGTGTTTGTCCTCGCGTTTCCGCGTGCAAGAGAAAGAAGCTGAGGAGGGAGGAGCAGCAGGAAGAGGAGGGGAGGGAGGACGACGAGAAGGGAGGGGGAGGAGGAGGAGGCAAGAGGAGGAGGAGGAGGAGGAGGAGGAGGAGGAATAGGAGGACCAGTGTAACCCCGCGACTCATCAACGATGTTGGAATACGCGCTCCCTCCAAGCCCCTTCTTCACAGGCTTCTACAAGGATTCATTTCCACTGCGGGAAGTGCCCCGTTGGGAAACAACCGTTTAAAGATCCTGAAGTGTGCCAAACAATCTGATCGGGATTCCAGCGCCACGAATCAATCTGATTGTTGCGTCCTGACAATCCTGAGTCGTGCCAGAAGGCCATCCTTGGGACTTCGACGCCGCGATTCAGCACAGCTGTTACGCTTTGGCAATCCCGGATCGCTTCAAAAAGCCGGTTTAGGAACGTGAACCATGGGAACCCTCGAACTTGCTGTAAATGTTCAAGACGAGTGCGCGTGGCGCTGTGGCGAGAGCCACCGTTTGAAAAGTAACCGCCCTCAATCCCGTAAAGCTCTTGCACATTAGATTACGAATGTGCGAGGACCTATGGCGAGAGTCACATTTTGGGAGCGGCCCGCCCTCCATCTGTGAAGCTGTGACCAAATTTTCAGCTTCAGGATCAGAGTTGGCAAGGAAGTATCAGGCGATACGTCCAGACCGCCCTTTCGACTGGCACGGGGGTGCGACAGGGAGGAGTCATTCAGAAGGAGGAACACTGGAGGTGGAGGTGGGGGATGGGGAAGGAGAGCAGGAGGCAGGAGGAGGAGGAGGAGGAAGGAGGAAGAGGCAGGAGGAGAGAGGAGGGGAGAGGAGGAGAAGGCAGGAAGACGAGGGATGAGGACGAGGAGGGAGGAGGCACCTGCCGTGTAAACTATTCCTATCTTCTTGCCCACGCTTGCGCACTGTCTGGTTGTTTGCTGGATTCAGGCGCTGAATGCGTGCGTCCTCTGTTGCGTCTCCGCGGGCAAGAGAGAGGCTCCTAGGAAGGAGGGGAAGCAGGAGGAGGAGGGGAGGACAGGAGGTCGATAAAGGAGGAGGAGGAGGGGAGGAGGTTGGGGGAGGAGAAGAGGAGAGGAGGAGGAGGAGGAGGAGAGGAGGAGGAGGAGGAGGAGGAGAAAGAGGGGGGGAGGGAGGAGGAGGAGGAGAAAGGGAGAAGGAGGTGGAGAAGGCAAGGCAGGAACTGAGGAGGGATGGGGGGAGGCAAGGAAGAGCCGAGGAACCGAGGGATGGGACGGAAAGGCGTGCTGGCGGCCGCGGCCCGCGGGCTGCTGCCGCGCGGCCCGCTCGCCCTGCCCGCCTGCCCGCGGCGGGCGGCGGCCGGAGCCGAGCACGAGGCGGCGGGCGGGGTGGGGGGAAGCCCTCCACCGTCCTCCTCCGTCCTCCTCCCTTCTCCTCGTCCTCCTCCTCCCCCTCCTTTTCCCCCTTTCTCCTCCCTCCTCCTCTCCTCCTCCTCCTCCTCCTCCTCCTCCTCCTCCTCCTCCTCCTCCTCCTCCTCCTCCTCCCTCCTCCCTCCTCCCTCCTCCTCCCCTCCTCCCTCCTCCCTCCTCCTCCAGCTCCCTCCCCTCCTCATCCCTCTCCTCCTCCTCCTCCTCCTCCTCCTCCTCCTCCTCCTCCTCCTCCTCCGCCTCCTCCTCCTCCTCCTCCTCCTCCTCCTCCTCCTCCTCCTCCTCCTCCCCTCGAGGGGGCCCCTCCCGTAGGGGAGGGGTCGGGACCCCAGGGTCCTCCTGGCGCAGGCGGGGAGCGCCGGGCCCGAGGGGCGAAAAGCCCCCGCGCCCGGGACGGCCCCCAAAGCGGGGTCTCCTTCCCGGGGGGCCCCCGGCCACGCAGCCTCCCACGGGAGCCTGGCTACCCAGCCAGGTGCCCCCCGTGGGAGTCGTGGCTGGGGGGTCCGTCTTTCCCCGTCGTGTCGTCGCCGTCGCTGTCGTCGTCTGTCGTGTCGTGGCGGGCCCCTGGGGTGGGTGGTGTGGGTTTGGTTTGGCCTGGCCCCCCCCCGTTCTGTCGGCTGCCGGGTGTTTCCGGCTGGGCCGTTTCCGGCCGACAGATCGTGGGGGGGGGGAGCTGGCCAGCCATCCCCATGCTGCCCGCTTGCGGGGGGCCCGCTGGCGGCGTGCGCCACCCGCGCCGTGAGCGCCCCGCGGCCGGCCCGCCCGCGCGCGGGCGGCCGGACGCGGCGCGCGCCGCGCTTAGGCGCGTTGCACCTCTCTCGCCCGCGGGCGAGTCGCTTCATTCATTCCTCCTCCTCCTCCTCCTCCTCCGCCTCTCCCGCCTCCCCCTCCTCCTCCCCCTCCTCCTCCCCCTCCTTTTCTCCTTCTCCTCCTCCCTTCCTCCTCCTCCTCCGTCCCCTCCTCCTCCTCCTCCTCCTCCTCCTCCGCCTCCTCCTCCTCCTCCTCCTCCTCCTCCTCCTCCTCCTCCTCCCCCCATCTCCTCCTCCTCCTCCTCCTCCTCCTCCTCCTCCTCCTCCTCCCCTCCTCCTTCTTCTCCGCCTCTCCGCCTCCTCCTCTCTTCTCCCTCCTCCACCTCCCTCCTCCTCCTCCTCCTCCTCTCCTCCTCCTTCTCCTCCTCATCCTCATCCTCATCCACCTCCTCTCCCGCCCTACTCCTCCTCCTCCTCCTCCTCCTCCTCCTCCTCCTCCTCCTCCTCCTCCTCCTCCTCCTCCTCCTCCTCATCCATCCTCCATCCTCCCTCCTCCTCCTCCACCTCCTTCTCCTCTCCTCCTCCTCCTCCTCCTCCTCCTCCTCCTCCTCCCCCATATCCTCCTCCTCCTCCTCCTCCTCCTTCTCCTCCTCGTCCTCCTTCTCCTCCTCCTCCGTTTCCTCCTCCTCCTCTTCTTACTCCTCCCTTCCTCTCCTCCTCCTCTCCTTCTCTCGTCATTCCTCCTCCTTCTCTTCCTCCTCCTCCTCGTCCTCATCTCATCCTCGTCCTTCTCCTCCTCGTCCTCCTCCCCCTCGTCCGCCTTCTCCTTTTTGTCCCCCTTTTCCTCCTCATCCTCCGCCTTCCTCCTCGTCTTCCTCTTCCTCTTCCTCTTCCTTATCATCCTCCTCCTCCTCCTCCTCCTCCTCCTCCTCCTCCTCCTCCTCCTCTTCGTCACCGTCCTCTTCTCCTCCTCCTCCTCCTCCTCCTCCTCCTTCTCCTCCTCTACTCCCTCCTCCAAGGCCCGCCTCCTCCTCCTCCTCCTCATTCTCCTGCCTCCTCCCTGCCGCCTCCTCCTCCTCGTTTTCCTCCCTCCTCCCTCCTCCTTCCTCCTCCTCCTCCTCCTCCTCCTGTTCGTTCTTCTCGTTCTCCTTGTTTTTCTAGCTTCCACGCGGCCTAACGGACAGGGGGCCATGCCACGAACAACTTGCACCAAGTCGGGTCATAATGGCAACAAGAAGCGACACCTTCACCTTTCGTATACGACACCGAACAAACTCTTTTTGAACTGCGGGTCGGGACATACGGGGGAGGAGGTGGCAGGGAGTTCGCCGCGCGTGATGTCTACGCGGCCCCACAACTCACATGTGCATCCCGACCGCAGTTTCACTTCCTGGATCGATGTCTAGCGGTGGATACACAGGTGAAGGGTGTCTTGCGTTGGCCTCACGAAAGCAGAAGAAACAGATGCAGTCAACGGCACTGTCGGAGTTCAGCGAGGATTTCTCGGTTTGGCGGCTCCTTCGCCGCCGCCCCTGGCGCGCTCCGCATGCCAGGAGCCAGGGAGGGGATCCAGCGCTGGTCCAAGAAATCCGCAAGGACCCCCAGCAGTCGTTGTTTATGCCGTGACTGTGCCCCCCCGAGATGGACTGCGGAACGCTGCAGCCTCTGCGAAGCGTCTGCTTGCCCCCGACGCCCCCCCAGCCCGACGCGCACCCAGAGGGCCTCGGCTCGTTCTGGGGCGGGCCTCGCCCCTCACGGACGTCGGCCCCCGGGGAGCTCGGGCGGCCCCCGGCGAGATTCCGAGGATGGGCCCATGGGCGGTTTGTCGCCTCCCCTTCCCACGGCGAGCATCTCGCGGTAGGAGGAGGACAAGATGTCTACCGAGACCGCTGCTCGTCCTGAAGGTTTTTCGTCGCCACGGCTGGGTTATCCTGGGGAAGGGTCCCAGGAGAAGTGGTGTCGGCTCGGCGGCGCTCCCAGCGCGGACGTTCAAAAACGCTGAATGCCGCCAGTGCCCCAGAATCGGCGGCAACCGAACGATCCAGGTATCGCAAAGCCGCGAGCGTTCTATGGTCCTCAGGACGCGCGTAAGCCCAATGCGCATTTACCCCGTGCAGCTCCACCGATTGCACACAACTTGTGTCGGCCATCATTGCACAGCCCTCGTCGGTCTGAAACGTTTCGGTGGACAAGCAAATGTTCGCGGTAGCACGCGTCCTGAGGACCATCGGATAGTGTTAGGCCTCCCGAATGGGGCTCTGTGTAGATCGGACCGGAGGATCTCGTCACATTGCCGATGCATCGGCGACGCGCCTCGATGTGGAGCCCGATGTTGTTCACGCTGAGGGTGCCGATGCAGCGCACACGGTACACGTCGCCGATGCATCGCCGATGCCTCGGCGATGTGTCGGCGATGAGGCGCGATCTTCCAACCCCACCTGTTCTGACATCATCCATTCTGGTCCCATCCGTTTTGACCCTATCTACTCTAACACCATCTACTCTGACCCCATCTCCTCTGACCCCATCTACGCTGACCCCATCTGAGAGACCTCTAATCGTTCAAGGCTGCACATATTCCTCCTCCTTTCCTTGTCCTCCCCCCTCCTCTCTCGTGCCTCCTCTTCCTCCACGGCATCGTGCTCCAGGCCTCCCTCATTGATCATAGTCCGCTTTCCCCTCTCCTACCCATCCCACCTCCTGCCTCGTCGGAGAATTGTCTCTCCAAGGCAAGAGCGTGTAGTGCCCTCTGAGCTACTGAGTTTACTCATCTGTATTCTTATACACACAAGCCCGATCTTGCGGGCGACTTGGTCTGCCATTTTAGCGCGGCGCACACCCCCAGCACTGACCCAACCATAGGATTGCAGTGGAAACCCATGCCAAGAAACACCGTGCTTGCCTCCAGGGTGCATTGGGATCGTAGGGCTTCGATGGTTTTGCGATGGAATACGTGACGTTCCCAAACCGAAAATCGATGTACATCCTGGGGCTCCAGGGTTGAGAAGGTTTCTTGTGGTCGAGCTCCTATTGTGTTTCCCGGACATAGGACCCCTGAGTCCTGAGCCCTCCTCCTTTGTCGTTCCCGAGAGATCCATGCGGCGCCAGAAACCCGCGCGCAGGCCGTCACCGCACGTCACGGGCCTTCCGCACCAGCGCTTCGCCGCAGGCTGCCCTGGCGGCCGCGGCGCCCATTTGCAGTGATGCGCGGAGCGCTCCAGCAAAGGAGGCTGCGCGTGGGTGGGCGGCGTTTTGTCTCGCAGTGTGACGACGACGACGACTATGAAAATGATGATGCTGTTGTTGATGATGATGATGAGAATAAGGATGAGGACGCTGATGTGATGATGCTGATGTTGATGCTGATGATGATGATGATGATGATGATGATGCTGATGATGATGGTGATTGTGATGAGGATGAGGATGAGACAGATGATGAGGACGAGGATTATGATGATGGTGGTGATGGTGATGATGGTGATGGTGGTGATGATGATGCTGATGCTTATGCTGATGTTACTGTCGATGATGATGGTCATGCTGATGCTGATAATGATGATGACTATGAATATGTTCAGGGTGCTGGTGATGAATATTATTATGTTCCTTTGACCTGGGCAGAGCAATTTCAGGAAACGTTAGAACCTGGGTAGATTGGATCAAACGCAGCACGAGAGAGCTGGAGGAATATACTAAATCATCTCACACTGAGGATTGGATCACACAACAACTTCAAAGAAAATGGCCAGGCTTCGCCAAAGCTGCACACAAGGCGCCCGGCGAGTGGATGTGTCAGGTTGTATCTTGGGGCCCGTGTCAGCACGCAGAGCTATACGCGAAAAGGCGCCCTCACCGACCCAAGCGTCGCTGGATTGACGACACTTTCCAATTTATTTCAAGGCACAGGGAAGTGTCGACTCCAGAAAAACAGAAGGCTTTTGCAGATGATTGTGAGGCGCGAGATGCTGTCCACCTACTACTGAGGTTTACCACACGAGGTGCATGGAATTCCCTAGAGCAAGATTTGTGTCAGGCGCTTTGAGCTGTACAGGGCGCTTCGTTGATCGCCTCATCGCTGAGGAGATCCGTGCTGCTTCCAGGACCTTCTCGCCGCACACGGCACAGTTCTTCGACGGGGTGCACGTGTGGCAGCTTGCGTGCCTCACCGGCCCAGGGTTGGAAACCCTAGATCGTATTGTTCAGACGTCCGAGAAGCTGGGATTGTTTCGTAGGGCCATGCTTTGTTGCTGTTTCCCGTGCCCGGGAAACCCAAATGAGGGCTACGCCCGATTATGTTGTGTTCGGCCCCTGTTCGGTTGTGGGAGAAACTCAGACGCCCCAAGCTTACCAGCTTTTACGTTCACCACCCGCGGAAGTACTGGGCCTTTGGGGCTGGGAAGTCGGCGGAAGCTTGTGTCTGGGGCCAGGCGGTCAAGGCGGAAGCTAAGGTGGGAGCTGGAAGGGTCACCGCTGGGTTCTGTCAGGATGGCACGAAGTATTACGATAGTTTCGATTTGAAAATGAAGGATCGAGGTTTAGCTGCGGGGCTTGAGCCAATCATCATCCAGATGGTCTTTAATTTTTGGCGAGGACCACGTATCTTGCGCCTCGGGGCTGACAACATATTGGTGGCCCGGTATGCGCCAGCGGCTTGCCAGGAGGCTCGTGCTTTAACGACACCTCTGTACGCGTTTACGCCATGATGCCTTTTGATAGCTTTGTACGCCGCAGCCCGACCCGTGGACCTCTCATCTTGCGTCGACGATGATACGGCCTCCTTGTCAGTGGCGGCGGCAGACCTCCACGCTATCTTCACTAAGGAGCTGGGGGTAAGCCTTGCGTCTGATAAGCTGAAGACGTTTGCGTCGGAGCTGGGAACTGCTCGCCGCCTTGGAGAACGCCTTGGTATCCTGGCGGGCCAAGTCGGCGCGCATGTGACCTCGTCGGTCTGCGACCTGGCCCTATGGGGCCAGCGCGACCGCAAGATGCACCTCGTAAAGAGGAAAGCGCGCATATGATTACGAGACACAGGATATTGAAACGGTACCAGAGGGTTTTACCCAGGGACCGAGTGCGCTTGGGGAAGATTCACACGGCGGATATCAAGCCTGCCCTCAGGGACAGGATCGTCGGCATGACCGGAGCGTAAGTGTGCGCGTAGTGTGCGCCTGTAGTGTGCGCCTGTCCTTGCAGGCCCTAGGCACGCTGGGATCTCCACCCCAGCCAAGACGGCGCTCGTGGGGAACCCACTGTGGAGGAGCATGGTTGCTCCAGCTGTGGCCTTGGCGCAGGCCGTGCGTAGCGCGGTCACGAGGCCACAGGGCGCGGCCTTCTCGGTCAAGGATCCGTGCGCCGTGTGGAGGGAAGTCAACAGGGAAGGATTCACGCGGGCTAGATCTCGCGGGCCGATTCGCCGGATGCCTTTCTCGCTGAGGCGCGACGGGCGGTCGGCGGCGTCACCTCTTGATCGGATCGATGACAAGGGGATCGAGTATAGTTAAGTGTGCGTGACCCACTCCATGGTTTCGTTCTTGTTGGAAAAAGGGTGTCCAACGACACCGCGAGCGGGCCCTGGCGGCCAAACTCTGCTGGAGCCCTGGCACCCATGTTTGCGTGGAGCCCGCGCGCAGGCTCGTCGACCCTCGGGCGAAATGCATCGGGCTTCATGCCCAAGGTAAGTGCCTTGTCGGGTCGTCTTTTTTTGAGAAGGTGTGTGGGCGGAGGACAGAGCCGGAGAGCTGGGCACCTCGGTCTAGGTTTGTGCCCGATGCGTCAGGGGCCCGGCTCTGTAGAACACCGCCTGTTCTTGTGCAAGCGCGCTGATGTGGTGCGAGCCAGGGAGGAGGCGGAGTTGCGGAAGGATTCTGTCGAACAGCAGCCAGCGGAGACGCAGTTTTCTTCACGCGACTCAAGATGGGGCATCCCATTTCTTTTAGGCCCAGTGTGAGCGACCTTCGTGAGCCTGCTCTGCACGACGAGCGCGGACACGAGGTAGCGTGTGCCGATGTTGATTGCGCTGACCTGTATCAGGCTGGGCCTGGCCCGTGCATCCCACACACCACGCGAGAGTTGTCGAGGACGGCGTACTGTCGGGTGTTCTTTGAGGGAGATGGGAATCAGAAGTATGTGGCTCGTGGGGCGGCGTGGCCATCACTGCCGCAAACTAGTCAGGCTGCGGAACAGCTGCAGCCGCCTTTGTTGCCCATTGTTGTGCCGCGCTTCGCCGGGCAGCGTTGCGGCGATTGCGTGAACGCACTGAAATTTCATGACAGGAACCCAGTTGATTAGATTTCCCCGAAGCAGAGGTGTGGAGGCTTAAGGCGACGTGCGCTGATCCATATGCAGGGTAGCATGTTTGCCCCAGCTGCTCACACGCCTGCTCGTAGGAAGCTGGAGGATATTGATATGCTCCCGCAGCCCGAACGTAGGATTGGACATGCTGGCTGGAGAGCCGATATCGAGGCGAAACGTGCTATTGAGATTCACGCGCGTCCTTCGGACGCCGAGGTCCAACAGTTGGACCGCTGTGTGCGGCAGGTTGGACGGTGGCCAAGCTAGCTGCTGCAGCGCTGCCGCTTGGCCCCCCAAGCGTGAAAGGCTGAGGAAGGTCTTCGCGACGGCCACGGCTTGGCACTCTTGGGAGCGATGGCTTTGGGGTTGCAGGTGCTCGCACTGTTTGGTTTTTTACTTTACGGGGGGGGGGATGTCCTCTCGAGGCCTGAGATTGGTTGTGGGGGCTTTCCCGATGGCGTGGCCGAGTTGTTCGCTTCCGCTCCAAAGCATGGCCACAAGCTCGCGAGCACGCAAGAGGCCAACGAAGAGCTCCCACTGTTCTTCTGCGAGGCGCGCGGAGCGCACTCGCAGCACAAGATGCGCAGCCTGGCAGCACTGTGCAAGCCAGGCAGTTGCGCGAGTTGAGCACAGTGCTGTCGCGTCTCCGCCGTGGCCGTCACCCACTGCGCAATGCGACGGTGTCGCGGGCTGAACCTGAAGAGCAGGTCAGGCGAGAGGAGGCCGCGTAATGCGACTGTGTCGCGCGCCTCGAACCTGAAGAGCAGGTCAGGCGAGAGGAGGCCACGGCGGTCCTTGAGGTGGCGCGGCGGGGTGTCTTGAAAGCCTCTGCCGCCCCCCCACCTTGCTTGGAGGCCATTCGTGCCCGCGCTGCTGCACGAGAGGCTGCCAGCAAGTCAAGTGTGAACTGTCAAACGTGTCGGGCAACGGTGCCCCCCCCCCAACAAAAAAATAATATATAGGGCGCTTCGGCCCCATGCCGCGCCACCTACAGAGTGCGCAATGCGGTTCGCAGTCGCAGATGATGGCTTCGATGATGATGATGATGGTGATGATGATGATGATGATGATGATGATGCTGATGACAATGACGATGGTGATGATGATGAATTGTATGATGGTGATGGTAATGTTGGTGAGGGTCGTAGTGATGGGGGGTGGCGATGCCTATGAAGATGATTATGGTGATGGTGATTGTGGTGACGATCGTTATTTTGGAGTGGTCGCCGCATGCCGGTGTTTATGCTTGCCAAGGCAGTGTACGCAGTATTGTGCCACGCATGCACGTACTATCTTTGCATGCCGCAGCCACTTCACTCCGAGTCCAGACGAGTCCCAGCAGGGGCGAAACGTTGACACGCGTTTTCCAAAAAAAGTACGGATTCGAAAGCGCCACACGTATCAGTTGGTGATGAATAAGAAGTTGACGTTGGTGTTGGTGATGATGACGATGGTAATGGTGATGGCGATGGTGATGGCGATGGTGTTGGTGTTGGTGATGATGATGATGATGATGATGTTGTTGTTGATGATGATGATGTTGATGGTGATGATGATGGTGGCGATGATGGTGATGATCGGTGCTGATGTTGATGGTGATGATAATGATGATGAACATCGATGATGATGGTCGGTGGTGGCGACGATGCTGATGATGATGATGATGGTGATGACCGTGGTGGTCATAACGATGATGTTGATGTTGATGTTGATGTTGATGATGATGCTGATGCTGATGCTGATGCTGATGCTGATGCTGATGATGATGATGCTGATGATGATGATGATGATGCTGATGATGATGATGATGATGATGATGGGTGCCGTCTGCTGGTTGGAACAAGGCGGGCCCCGATGCTTGCCCGCCCCGGTGCTTATGGGCCCTATGGTCGGGACTTTTGGCTTGGCGTGTCGAGCCGCCAATTATGGCCCATCA